TTTCTTTCTTCTTTTCCACTTTCATCATTTTGATCCAGACTTTAACATTCTTCGGTAATATAATCCTATGTTTTGTACAGTATGGTCTGTAGAGATAATATTTGATGATATTATTAAAAAGAAACACATTTACAGTAAATTTATTTGTTACAAATTTTATCGATAGATGGCAGTTGAATTTATAAATATATAATAGTGTGTTCATTATCACAGAGGATTGCGAATTTAGACAATTTACAAAAAAAAAAAGCATAAAACCCCACAACGATTTTTTTTTTGCTAATATAACTGGCTAAAAAAAAGGGTATATCTTGTATATAAAACCTACAATAATCGTAAAACTTCGACCAACCCATCACGTCGTTCAATATTTGATGAGATGAAAGTAAGGCCAAACGATCAAGTACCGTTGAGATCTTCTACGCATGCGTTGTCAGACGATACGTCATACTTGAACGGAAGTGGATGTAAATTCTCATCTGAATTAATTAACGGACCGGAAACCGTCTGGTCATAAATTCGCGGGAGGTGGCGAATAAATTAAGGGTTAACGTTCCATCTGAAGTTTTTAAAGTGTTGAAATAATTTGATGTTTTTCCAGACCCTCAGTTCAAAATAACTTTATTAGGTATACACCGCTCAAATAGAACAACTCAGTTCAACATATTTACAATAATGGGGATATATACAGTAGAATCTCCATGTAAAGGACACCTAATTGCAGAGCCAAAGTGTCTTTTAGGGAGAGATGTCCTCTTACCGGAGATTTGCTAAATAGTAAAAATGGTAATTTTACAAATGAAAACTGTCCTTTGTAGAAAGGTGTCCTCTAGCGCGAGTGTACTCCTATGGAGGTTCTACTGTACAAAGGTTTATTTACAATTATATTACAATTATGTTATGGTATCAATGTATTTAGGTCCGGAATCTTGGGGATTTTGGGAATCTTGTTATTGGAGAGGTTTTTTTCTGGATTGCTTGTTATTTGTAGTGTATTTCTTCTTTTCCACTTTTCATCATTTTTGTCCACACTTTTACTTGTTCCAAAATCACTTTATTAGGTATCGTTCAAAAAGGGCAACCTATTTATGATATTTACAACAATGACTGATATGTGAAGGTTATTAACTTATTAAAACAAAGGGTCCAATACGGGATTCGATCCCGGTTCATGGCTTTCGGAAATAGACGGTTTATACCAGACTTTTACCCTGTTCCAAAATCAATTTATTAAGTACCGCTCAAAAATAGCAACCTAGTTTATGATAATTGCAACAATGAATAATATGTGAAGGTTATTCACATATTAAACAAAATGTTAACGCGGGATTCTATCCCGGTTCATGGCTGTCGGGAATTGAGGGTGTTACCTACTCGTCCACTGACCATTCCAGACTTTTAACATTCTTCGGTGATATAATCTTATGTTTTGATAATATATAAATGGAATTTCTTGATCAGGAAACTTAACGTTGTCAATATCATTAGCCCTATCTATGTGAATAAATATAAACTAAATAATAATTATTGAAAATTCCGAAGTATTAATAATGATCATCTACATTTTTATTGTTAAATGAAAAGGGAAAAATCGCAAAAATCTACGCGTTTCGTGCTGTTGGTCATTGTCAGTATAGTTCAGAATCTATCTCAAATTATCATCTTATGTTTTTACTAGAGAAAGGTACTTCTTTTTGAATTTTTATTTATCCCAAGTACAGGCCATGGTAATTATGGTGGGGAGTTAGCAAATGATTTACTCTGTTAGTGGACCACATGTCTACACATGTGGTGGAAATATATTTGCATTTACAAGTACTTATAAGAAACACATTCCCAATAATAATTATTTCATATTTTATCGGTAGATGACGATTGAATTTATAATTGTAATTTGCAATAATATCTTTAATAAGAAATAATATTTGTGGAAAATGAAATTTCTTGTAATTAAATCTAAATCTACAGACCTATAAGCCAATGTCCATATATAGGTTCCCTGAATAGCCCTCTCAGAACGAAACAATATAAAAGAATCACAATACATCCAGATAGCACAAGAACCTACAGGACATGCAACAATTGTTCTGGTGTAGAACTAACACATACCCACATATTTTGCCCAGCAATGGCCGCAGCTTTGCAGAAAATTGGCATGGACCCAGAGCAGCAGCTATACACACCCAAGATAGAGGACATTGCAACTGCTGTGATAGAGATGTATGGAGACATCTGAGGTTCTTCATTGGACACGACGACAACAGAAAATTGACATGGACCCAGAGCAGCAGCTTTACATACTCAAGATAGAGGACAATGCGACTGCTGTGAGAGAGATGTATGGAGACATCTGAGGCTCTTCATTGGACATGACAACAACAACAGAGAATTGACATGGACCCAGAGCAGCAGCTTTACATACTCAAGATAGAGGACAATGCGACTGCTGTGAGAGAGATGTATGGAGACATCTGAGGCTCTTCATTGGACATGACAACAACAACAGAGAATTGACATGGACCCAGAGCAGCAGCTTTACACACACAAGATAGAGGACATTGCAACTGCTGTGATAGAGATGTATGGAGACATCTGAGGCTCTTCATTGGACATGACAACAGCAACAGAGAATTGACATAGACCCAGAGCAGCAGCTTTACACACCCAAGATAGAGGACATTGCAACTGCTGTGATAGAGATGTATGGAGACATCTGAGGCTCTTCATTGGACATGACAACAGCAACAGAGAATTGACATAGACCCAGAGCAGCAGCTTTACACACCCAAGATAGAGGACATTGCAACTGCTGTGATAGAGATGTATGGAGACATCTGAGGCTCTTCATTGGACATGACAACAACAAATAGCCCTAACCCTTTCTCTTTAGTAAATATTCCAGGGAATATAATAAAAACAATTCAATACAATAGTAGAGCGGTCTGGAGATTAATTCGACATCAGGACTTCCGTTGTTTCATCGTGACATTTTGATGGAAATGCCAAGTAGGCTGGGAAGGACAAATGCTTGAACAGACCTTGAGGTCATTAGTAATGTGATGCCATCCTGGCGGCTACAGGATTCCATCGCCGTGTCAAAACCTTCCCTTCAAAAAGTTGACAACCTCTTTCAACACTGAGACAACATAGTTTCTCTTGACGAAACAAGAAAACAGAAATATTGTGTAAAGAAAGCAGAAGACTAATGAAAACTCTGACAGAAACATGTCACTTCCATGTCAGAAGCAATATTACTTACAATCTGTAGCTTACTTATCAATCAAGAAGAAGCTATGTAACAAGCTATCAATCTTCTATCATTTCCTAATTTCCTGTAATATTTTTCATTTTGACTCGTTTTTTTTTTTTTTTTTTTAATACAAGGTTGTCCCAAAAGTTCGTAAACACTCGCAAAAAATTGAAATACCAATATTATTCGTCGTTATGTATAATGTCTTTGTATTATGTATAAAGTAATTGTAATATGTATTCTCCGTAATAATATTATTCGCCATGTAATAATAAAAACAACGTTTTAAGAAAAAACAAACTTTTGGGACAACCTTATAACTCGTTTTTTAAAATAGTTATTGATATTTAAACACACAAAAATGTATATATGTAAATGTAAAATTTCAGACATTTTTAAAATCGCATTCACAATTTTGTTTCTCTTATAAATGTCCCGGTGTAAAAAAAAGGCAACCAGTTTTTCAGGCCACCACTTAAGACTTTTTCTACAGCATCCAAAAACAGCCTCTTTAGTTGAATGGGCTGAGAAAAATTCTCCCTAGAGAATACCTAATACCTTGTTACTTTCTTTTAGGGTCTACGGGATCTTCTGTAATGGTTCCATGCTCTCTTTAAAAGCTTCCACAATGAAATCTTAGTGTATATCTTAGGTAGACAAAATACACTCATGGACAAAACTTAAGGAAGTGGAATGTCTCTGATATCGCTGGTCATCTATTTTTTTTAAGAAGACAGGTAATTTTGTTCACACTTAGTTGTATGTCTTCAATAAAGGTCACTGTGTATTAAATTTCTTTCTGAGTTATTGTCTGAATCCCGATATATATGCTAAAAGGTACAACTTTTTTAAATTTTGTCCATGAATGTATGTGAATTCATCTTGTGGTATTCTGCTTAAAATAATGGTAATTGCCATAGGATGAATTCACATATTTAATAAGGCAAGGATATCGAGCTGTGTGAACAAGTAAACCTATTAAATAAAAATGAAGGACCATGCAAAAATTTCAATATTGGTGCAATAATCACATGCTACATGTTGTGCATTCATGAAGAAGATGCCGTAGGATGGATGATTCAGCAAATTGGATCTTTTTTTTTAAATATTTATTTAAAATTGCATGTTTTTCGAACATAAATTTTCCAATTACAGTGCCAACATGACCTTTTAAGTTGGGCTTGTATAAAGACGATTTACGTTCAAAAACTCGCCGTTTTATAAGGTTGTCCCGAAAATTCGTGTTTTTTTTTAAACGTTGTTTTTAATTATAACTTGGCGAATAATATTATTACGGAGAATACATAATAATACATATTACAATTACTTTATACATAATATAAAGACAATATACATAACGGTGAATAATATTGGTATTTCAATTTTTGCAAGTGTTTACGAACTTTTAAGACAACCTTGTAAATTCACAAACAAAATACTTTATTAAGACGTATGGTCATACATCTGGATTCACCGCGGAGTCTGTCAAGGAAAATAGTAAAACAAGTAAAAGATATTTATAGTTAATGATAATAATTCAGATTTTTATTTAGAGAGGTAAACCAAAAAAAAAAAAAAACACACACACACACACACAATTAGTCTTGTAAAACGACATTTGAAAATTATCCCGCATGTGTTTCTTTTAAACGAAAAATCGGAATTTATTTTTAAGGAGAAACAACGATCATTTCCAACCTTAGGGATGAAAGGATGAATTGTGAAGAGTAATGATACACGGAAAAATAAAAGTGTCCAGGGATGGGAATCGAATCCACAGTGTTCCGCTTACCGGGCAGATGCCATGCCTACTAGGCTATAAGAAATTGGAACTATTTAAGAACCATATGAATCTTTTCAAAATTGAAAAAATTATACTGCCCTTACTGCATATTTTCTACTGCCCTTTCTCCTTAAAAATGAATTTCGATTTTTTTGTTTAAAAGAAACATATGCGGGATAATTTTCAAATGTCGTTTTACAATCATAAGCCGCATTATATTGTATTACAATCAGTCTTATACCCAGATTTTTATGATAATTCCTAGGAAAACAAAAAGATTAAATAATAAAATCATTTACATATGATACATACATTGCATATAAGCCTTTAAGACCTTTCGTCATATGCAAAACGCCATTTTAAATAAAAAGATTTGAATTCTTAATCTATCGCTAATTTCTTCGGCACTTTAAACATTTTTAAAGTAATTTACATAGTGAAAATGGATCATGGTGGCATCGTTACATAGTTAAAAGTTCCCAAACTTGTAAAAAAAAAACTCATTAAAACCAAGGGGCAATTAAGATGCCACCCCGGATGTTATCACATGTTGTTGTGCATTCATGAAGAAGATGCCGTAGGAAGGATGACTTAGCAATTTGGATCTTTTTTTATATTCCAAGTTTCTCTCTTGTGTCAAATACATTATCTGCTCAGATAGGCATTTATTGGTTTACATTAAAAACAAATTTAAATGTCAATGAATATTTCAGATGTATCAGGCTGTTTTTTTTTAATATTGATTGATTACGTAGTAAGGACTATAGTAATCATGTTGGGTAGGTGGTTGTGACACGTGTAACACTGGCCTTGATAATTTTGGTCGGTAGAGGAGGGGTTTGTGACTGTACACTACATATCTACACATGGTACATGCCATGATAATCTTGGTGAGAGGGGGTTTGTGACTATTACACTGTAAAGTACACTACATGTCTACACATGGTACATGCCATGATAATCTTGGTAGGTAGAGGAGGGGTTTGTGACTGTTACTGTAAAGTACACTACATGTCTATACATGGTACATGCCATGATAATCTTGGTGAGAGGGGGGTTGTGACTGTTACTGTAAAGTACACTACATATCTACACATGGTACATGCCATGATAATCTTGGTAGGTAGAGGAGGGGTTTGTGACTGTTACTGTAAAGTACACTACATGTCTACACATGGTACATGCCATGATAATCTTGGTGAGAGGGGGTTTGTGACTGTACACTACATATCTACACATGGTACAGGCTATGATAATCTTGTTGGGTAGGGAGTTTGTTACCGTAACTACAAAGTACACTACATGTCTACACATGGTACGGTCCATGATAATCTTGGTGAGTAGGGGGTTTGTGACTATTTGGTAATGTAAGTATATTGTATGTCTACACACATAGTACAGCGAATAGTAATCATGACGGATAGAAAGTTGTAACTATACAGTAAGTATACCACCTGTGTCTACACATGTAGTTATAGACCATGATACTATGGCGGATGCGACTTCTGGAAACATAAGTGCACCACATATGTCTGCAACACATGCTAATACAGACTGGGATAATATAAGGTTATCCCAAAAGTTCGTATTTTTCTTTAAACGTTGTTTTTCGTTGTTTTTGTAATAATATTATTACGGCGAATACATAATAGAATTACTTTATACATAATACAGAGACATTATACACAATGGCGAATAATTTTGGTATTTCAATTTTTTGCAAGTGTTTACGAACTTTTAGGATAACCTTGTAATTATGGCTGGTAGGCTAATCATATGAAAGAGATAGATTTTATTTTTATTTAAAAACAAGCCGAAAATGGTTGACGAAGACATTGAAGAAGAGGACAGATTTCCAGTCAAAATATATGCAAAAAAAAAGTATCCTTTAATGGCTTATAGTTTAATTTTCACATCAATTCGATATAGAGGATTGAATTGTGAACTCAAGGAAAATAATGAACTTATAACAATTCAAAATACCTGAATGCTTAATTTTTCATTTTAAGTTGCAGACATGTTGTCCAATCTGTTCTTTCAATCTAACAGGTTCAGATCGGTCAACTTGCTATCACATCAGCTTACCGTGGATCACTTCCTTTTCACTGGTTTAGCCTTTGAATGCCAAAGATTCCAGACAGCCATCTTTTTAGGAACCACGAAACTAAGTCCAGAATATCTGGAAAATCTTCTAATAAATGAGCTTGTCCGGAGCACCTTACCAATTAGACCTTCACTTGCACATTGCAAAACAACATTTTTAAAAAAAGTAGAAATTTGTTCATTCCTGGCCACTCCGACCACCCAGAAGTCTGAAAATATGTACACTTGCATTGTTCATTGGACTGAGTGAGTGTTAAAAGTTTGATACTTCTATGTGATCTGGAAGTATAATAAAATTAAATTTAAAATTTGAAAGGCAATTTGGAAATTTGTCCATTTCCGGGCACCCTGAAAACCAAGAAGTCTGAAAATTTGTCAACTTGCATTGTCATCAGGTTCTGAAGAGTGTACCAAATTTCAGATTCCTACGTGTTCTAGAATTATATGAAAAATTGATTACAAGATTTGTGAACAGACAAACAGACAGACAGAGAAGCAAGTTAAATAAAAACGTTTAAAAAGACTTAGGTCTGAAGGACAACCTGGGTAGTTGGCGACTTGGGTATTCTCTCCAAGAACCTGAGTCAAAACAAATACACTCATAGAGACAAAATTTAAGAAAGTTTCACATTTAAGCATAAACCACTTCTCATTAGCTTATATAAAGGCTGATTTCCCCATACACGTAAATTCGAACGTTTTCCTTTTTACAAAATGCTAAAAATATAATAAAATATAATAATAATAAGTAAAAAAATATATATGCTAAAAATTACAACTTCCTTAAGTTTTGTCCATGAGTATAATTAATAAAAATCAGTTTTGTAAATTGGAAAAACCAACAGGCTTTTTCTTAAATTCCAAAATATACAAATGACTAACGTTAAGTTTATTTTAGCGTCTCCTTTCTGTAGATAAATTCTGTTGAAGAAATTCTGACTCAAAATCTCGTCCAATTTATGGCACAAGGAAATAACGATTTCACTAGTCATCAGTGATTTTACGAATTTGAAATATATTCAATAGATTTAATCATTATATATTGGTTTCTCAAGTATTTTTGGACGGATAACGGAACTTTTTCTTACAGAGATTCTATCTCAGATAAATTTGTAACTACAGGAAACCTCTCATGAACGACCCTGATGTATATAGTTGTTTATTTGTTTTGCATATTTTTCATTTATAAATTAATCTCATAATTTAGTCTGTGAAATTAAAAATATTGGACCGGTGACGAAAACAAAATTATGTAGTTATGTAGTTATGATATATAATTGTTTTTGTGATGATATATAATTAAATGTGATGTTTATGTAATTTTGATCTTAATTGAATAAAATATATAAAGTTTAAATGTATTTTAAACTTTAATAACAAGCACAAAACAGACCCTTTAGATGATTTGCTATCTTCTTGTTGACTACTGCAGTTAAATCCACTAATGAGATGTCTTGACATAAATTGTCTTCTATGCCACCTCCAGGAGAGACCATTTGTAACTACAGGAAACCTCTCATGAACGACCCATCTGGTAATCTACTATCTTCTTGAGAACCACTGCAGTTAAATCCATCAATGATTTGTCTTGACATAATTGCCTCATATAAGAAATACCAGGAGAGACCATTTGTAACTACAGGAAACCTCTAATGAACGACCCATCTGATGATTTACTATCTTCTTGAGAATCACTGCAGTAAAATCCTTCAATGATTTATCTTGAGATAATTGGCTCACATAATAAATACCAGGAGAGACTAGGAGATTAAATTTATAAATTCAATTGCCATCTATCGATAGAATTTGTAACAAGTAAATTCACTGGCCATGTGTTTCTAAAAGAGTTGGTGGACGAGTGGGTAACACCCTTAATTTCCGACAGCCATGAACCGGGATCGAATCTCGCATTGGACACTTTGTTTTAATATGTGAATGACCTGTATATTTTATTCATTGTTGCAAATATCATAAACTAGATTGATCTTTTTGAGCGGTACCTAATAAAGTGATTTTGGAACAGGAACAATATGTTTCTCTTCAATAATTACATCAAATATTATCTCTACTGACCTTACTGCGATGATAAAAGTTATTGAATGAGAGGGATTGGCTCATCAGTGGTGAACCCTCTCAGCGGTTTCGCCAATTCGTGAAGAATCCATCTTTTTTTTTTTTGGGGGGGGTTTATGGTATTTCATGTGAGTTGCGTCCTTCTTTATTTCAATAGGGTTGTCACGTAAAAAATGAGGAAATACAAATGACGGGATGATAAAGCAATTTTTATTTTGATCAGAGCAACTACATTCTTTTTTTACATGCAGACATTTAGATCTCAGAGAGCTATAACAAAGGGAAATTTATTATTGTATAAGAGAAGATAAATTAATTATTCAATATATGAAATATTATGGTACAATATATCTTGATATACATAGAAAGAAAATGTCTATTCGTTTATTCTTCATACAATATAACGAATAAAGACATTAAGACGCGAATGTTTCTTTTCACAAATAAATCAAACTTCTACTGTCCTTACTTCGACGAAAAAAATATTGGGAGGGCTTGGTTCATCAGTGGTGAACCCTTCAAGCGATTTCGACAATTTATAATTCTACCAGACCGCTTCTTTAGAGCTCCAAAACTGTATTGGATCATTCTGCTTTTATATGCTGCACTTTTTCATCGCAGTAAGGACAGTAGAATTTTGATTTATTTGTGAAAAGAAACATTCGGGTCTCAATGTCTTCATTCGTTATATATAGATGGCGGGTTATTGCTTTGTATCTTCATACAATATAGGACGTACCTGGACATGAAACTTTGACATTATATTGTATCGTAGTTTATTTGTTACTAGACGAATGACCCGGGCAATGCCCGGGTTTACACGATTAAATGTATATTACACTTGGCACAGCTCTGTCACCAACTCTGCCCCCGC